TCAGCGGACTACATGACAGCCCCTCTTTTATCTATCCTTTCCCACCCTCACCTCCCTTTCTCAGTCCCTTCTTCAGTAAAATGGGTGCAATACTAGCCCCTCCCTCACTGGAATGTTATGATAATCAAATGAGGTGATATAGGTAGAGCACTTGGCAAGAGCAGGTTGGAAGGAATCACTGTCTTTAAATTAACCTACAAAGGGGGCCAGCGGTACTACTCAGGGTCTATGAAATTGGATAAAGTGTCTACAACTATCTGAGGGGCCATTCTGGTGTGGCTGTGTGCCTGACTAAAAAAAAAAAAAAAAAAAAAAATTGAAATGGTGTCAATTTTGAGGAAGAATGAGACCAGCAGCCTGTGATAGCCCTAGCAGGAAATGCAGCTTCAGAGGCAGAGAGAAACACAATATGGTGCAGCTGGTTTCTGGAAAATGAAGCTATGAGATGTGCCCTCGTGGCAATGTAGCATCGTGTCAATTTTTCCAGGGAATGTTCCCTTTCCCACTGTCATGAGAGTACATGGGAGGTTTTACCCTTTGGGGTATGGGGTACAGAGAATGATTCTACTACCAATTGTTGCCTTGCTATTTATTTTGCTACTCCGACCTAACTAAAAAATTTATTTGTTTTATGGTTTTTGCCAGGTCTATCGGTAAAGCATGTCCTGGATGGGGGCTCAAGCTTTACTGATGGAATTGTATTTACCTCAAACATCCCACATGAAACCTGGGGTAGTGAGGGATTCAAGAATCACATGGGGTCAAAGGATTTTATTTTCTGATTAACTTCTTTAATACACTTCAAAAAACACTACAAAGTGTATAATACTACACCCTTTGCACTCACTTCCATGATAAAATAAAAAATGTATAATTAAATTGTTTTGAACTCACTCAAAACAATTTTGAACTATAGGCAAAATATTAAGTATAAAGGCTTGAGTGCCTTTATGAAGTCATCCTTAAACCTGAAAGTTTTCTCTTCCTACTCAAACTTTCCTAGAACACTTTGCCTTGATCTCCTTTGCCTCAAACCACATCTAACTTGAATTTTACAAGGCTACATTAATGCCAGAGTCCCTCCCCTCTGCCCCCAGAATATAAAGTCTTTGAGATCAGGCACTTGTCACTTAAAAAAAGATCTTTGTATTCCCCAGTACCCAGCAGAGTGCCTTAAATAAGTGACTAAAAAAGTTTGCTAAATGGAATAGAATAATGCCTAAAAATATTTACCATTACTTGTAACCTTGTATTAGAGTCAATGAATTTTAATGTGTTGCTCCAATCGAGTGAATAGTTACATTAGCATCTACAAGTTTCATGGCCAGAGATGTTGTGGCCAATTATTGCCATAGATGTAATATCTGTACCACACCACCCTCATGGTGCACACAGCAGATAAACATCGCTGAAGTTGTAAACAATACAGGTTTTCGTCAATCCCTTTAATATTTCTTCAGACCGCAAGCTTCCATTTTTAAGTACGTCCTTATCATAATGAATACTGACTTGATTCATTCCATTGTCCTTTGTCCAAACACTGGAATTTCTTGTACGTCTTGATGGCATTCTCTACCAAAGTCCTACTCTGATGCTTCAAAGAGGCAGAGAGGTGACCCTATACTCTTGAAGCGTGCATCAATAGAGGACTAACTGGCAGGTAGAGTCTTTCACAGTCTGGCTCCAAGTTTATCCCCCATTACATCCCCCCACAATTCTACATTCCAAATTAAAATGACTGACTTGCTGTTTCTTATACACATTTCATCTGACATCTCCGTGATTTTGTTCAAACTGCCCCCTCCCATCCTTCTTCCAAGAGGTCTGCTTACAACCCTCAAATTAGAATCCTCTGAACTGGAACTCTGAACTAGGGAAATGCTGAACTTCCTCCAGTGACTTAAAACCCCCAGAAACATGGCTAACCTGTTTGATTAGCCAATGATATCAATCCCTTCTTGATCCAATCAAAGAAACAACCTCATAAAGGGATCATAGAGAGTAACACCCCCCCACCATCTTGTTTACACATCGAAACTTCATCCTGTATGACTTTACACTAACATCATGTGATTATATTGATTAAGGTGTGTGTGTGGGGGGTGTACAAAAATATTAATAGCAAAGAACTGGAAAGGGAGTGCCCATCAATTGGGGAATGGCACCTGATATATGAATGTCATGGAAAATAACTGTAATGAAAGGAACCATTTCAGAGAAACCTGGGAAGACTTGTGGGAACTGATGCAGAGGGAGGTAAGCAGAACCAGGAGAACAATTTATACGAAAGCAACTACACTGTAAAAATTTTAAATGTTAAAAGATTTAAGAACTCTGATCAATGCAATGATCAGTCATGATCCCAGAGGACTGATGGGATGTAGATTATGTCCCACCTCCTGACAGAGAGATGATGGACTAAATGTGCAGAAAGAGAGGGACATTTTGGGGGCATGACCACTTATGAGATTTTATTTTCTTTAACAATACTCCCACCCCCAAAAAAGTCTAGAAAAATCAACACCTTATACTTCTATTAGTGTAGATCAAGAAGTTTCCATTTCCAGCCACAAAACTCCTCACTAGAGCCCAAACATAATTAAAATGTAATTAGGAAATGTCTAACAAAATACACAAAAATACAACAACCTAAATAATACTAATTCGTGTTTTTCTTAATCAATATGCTGCCTTCAGGTTTGATTCTGATACCACTGGTATAGCTATCCTCTTCACAGATGCAGATCACAATCCCCACATATCTCAAGAGACTATTTTATGGTTACTGTGAACAAAAATTTTACCATATACCAACTGTCTGGCAATGAGTTTGATATTGTAAACTTTGATTTGACCAGAATAGAGAATGATTTGGGTGCTTGGGTTAACTAGTTATTCTAATAGGAAGGAAAGATGAACCAAAAATAGCAGAACTTCAGATAGACTTAAAAAAGGTCACAGGACAAAAACATTAAAAAATTTTTTGTTATTAATTCACTTGGTTCTATATTGTGAAATTCTAAAGGCTTTACGCAATGTTTTAATCCTTATTTAGCAGGTGTGTTTTATCATTTTTGTTGATAGCAATTATATTTACAATAAAAAATTAAAAGCAAAAAAATAAAAATAAATAAGCTCAGTGGATGCCTTTAAATCTGATAAACAGCCTCACTGAGCACAGGGAGGCTCTTCACCAGGTTTGCTGCAGAGTGACAAAGTTTCCAGTCACAAAAACTTTTGCAGAACATCTAAGTCATACTGGAGTTGTGATTTGAGTCATTTGAGGGGGTGCCCACAATGCTTAAATAACACATCATGAAGTATTGAGGCATTTGGATGGCTTCTTAATATAATGTCACCGAGTAGGTGATATGACGACTGTCCCAGGAAATCCGAGACCTGTGGCCTCTGTGATTCTCAGATACAGGTTCAACCATGAAGATGTGAAGCCAGACTCTATCAGTGCCTCATACTCATTGTGATTAACCAGCCAGTCCTTGAGACCTTCTCCTCTGACCTCAGATCCACACAGATAGCAGCGTGCTGGTAAATGTTTAACAGCCAAAAAACATATGAACATATGAATACACGTTTAAGTTCACTCTTTGTTATAACACTTTCCTAAGTCTAGACAACCAAGAAAACAATCCATCAAGCCCTTGTTTGTTGCTGCTTATTTCTGTAAATACTCACGCTGAACGTTTGACAATCACTCTAGGTAAGCTGGTGAGAGCTGGCTCCAGCACACCCCTGAACACAGACCAACAGAGCCACTACTGAAAATCCCTATCACGCAGATCAAACCCTGCTTCCGTGACCAATGGCACAAGAGCCCAGGTAGATACACAAAATGTATGCATAGGAAAGAGCAGGACCCTGCCCTGACCTCCTCCAGTTCTCCAAAAATAAAGGTGCCTCCTGAAGGAATCCCACCTTACCTCTAGCAGATGAACTTTGAGAATCTACTAAGTTCACTGTGCTAGGTGTTAATGACACAAAGACAAAAAAAAAAGTCTCTTCTTCAAAGAGCTTGCATTCTAGTGGGGGTGGGTGGGTGGAGGAGATGTACAGAGGTAAATATATACAAAATATATATTATAATATTATATAGCTGGGTTTTTTTGACTGGACTTGTGATTTCATTAAAGTATAGAACTGCCCGTGAAGAAACTCATCCTATCAATATAGATCAGCACCTTCTTTGTAATTTATAGAATCACCTGAAGTACTGACAAGTTATAAGACTTGCCCAGGGTCACGGAACCAGGACTTGACCCCAGATATGGGTAGTATACTGTCCTGGAAACAGCAAGTAAGTTTCTTTGGCTGGAATATGGAGTGTGTGGAGTGTGTAAGGCGGAGCGATGTGGGATTGATCGTCCCCATGAAAAGTCTGTAGTTCTTCAGGGGGAATAGAGAGAACACCAGTCATTCTGTATAACTGAAAGTCCTTGTCCTAATTCTTTGGGCAGGCAGGCTAGGAGCAGGTCAGGGACCCCTTCTGCCATGGCAACAAGTGGGAGGCAGCGTCATACCACAAATGGCGCCATGAGGGCAGCCAGATAGAGGATGATACTTATATACGGGAGATTTGCACCAGGATCTCCACAGAGAGGTAGCCTCCCAATCCTAGCTCCAAATGATGGGATCATAGATTTAGAGTTAGAAAAGGTCTTAGAGGTCATCTAGTCTAAGCATCTCATTTGACAGATGAGTGAAACTGAGGCCCAGAGAAATTGAAGTAACTTGTCCAAGGTCACACAGCCAGTATATGTCAGAACCCAGGTCCTCTGGTGCCAAATCCATTGATTTTTTTTCCCTTCACTGTGTGAGGCTGTCTCTCACCATGAAAGCAGAGAAGTTAAGCCATCACATCTTCTCCTGGTTTAAGCCAGTAGCTTGCGGAATCCTATTTTGGTAGGAAGCTGGCAATCTCCCTTCCTGCAAAGTGTTGTATGCACACACACACACGCACACACACACACAAATCACCTGAGCAAGAATGGGGAGGAGTGAATTTCTACTTTGAAAGAGGTAGTGAAAAAACTGTCATTACTGTTTCAGGGAAGGAGAAGGTAAGCAGCTCCCCGTTATACTCTGTTTCTTATTTTATTTTGTCATCGAGAATGGTTTTTCCTTCTATTCTGTGATCCAGAGGAATTCATTTGGCCACAAGAAAAATGGGTTTGAGGGTTCATCATTTTTCAGGATTTGAGAAGTAGATGTTTTCTATTCATTCCTTTGCTTTTAGAAGTAATTGGAGGAAGGATTATCCTTATTGCTTTGATAATTAATACTGAATTTTCAATTCCATTCTTTGGAATTATGTTTCTATATCCAACACAAAGAGCCCAAATTCTCTGCAATTGTGGACAGGCATGGGTCAGTGTCAATCTAATTCTCTTGAAGCTCTGCTAGTACTATTGCACTTACCCTAGTGATATTTCCTCTTTCTGTTTGCAATGTGCCTGGGCGGCCTTTGCAAAGTTGTGAGCTCCTGTTCTGGTTGATGCTGGATAAACCACCTGTTGGGGATGGTAGGAGAAGGGATCTCTCCCCTTTGCAGAGCTTTCCCCTTTGAATGCCCCATCCTGGCATGGTGGTGATTCTGGGCTCTTGGAAACTATGCCAGTGGGACACAAGTTTTGGCCAGAGAGGTTTCAGGTAGAGGCCCAATAATAGGAGATTTATCTATTGTCACATAGCACATTTGACCACTAGGCTGGCTGCAGGGCAATGAATTTTTTTGGCTGTAGTAATGCTACAAAGCCTCCCCGGGAAGACATGGATGGCTGCATTCTATGAGTGGAAGAAATTCCTAAATGGTTTATTGAAGTAAATTGATTAGACTCGATGTGTAAAATCCCCCTTAACTCTAAATTTCTTTCTTTTAAATTTTTATTGATAGCTTTTGTTTTTATATCTTTATTTCCTAGTATATGCCTCTTCTCTCCCCTATCCGGAGAGCTATCCCTTATAATAAAAAACAAAAACAAGAAGGGAAAACGTGGTTCGGGAAAACGTGGTTCAGGAAAACTATCAACCCCTCTCAGTCAGATAATATATGCTGTCTCACCTCCTTAGGGCTTGTACCCACTCATCCACACCTCCCCCCTAATTTTTGTAAAGAAGGGCAGGAAATGCATTTTCCTATCTCTTCTAGGCCAAGCTTGTTTACTCCAAGGGCACAGCTTTGGCCTACTCTAAATTTCTATGATTCTGTGATTTTCTATGCTGTTGATGTTTCGGCTTTCCATGCAGATGGATTCCACGTGGTACTCAGACTACCAAGTCTCTGCCACACCTGCTAACTACGGCGACTACTCCAGCGGCGTCCTGTGTGAGAACCAAGCTAACTTTGAATTAACGACCATGAGCCACACGGTCTTCTACTCCTTTGTGTTTGTCCTAAGCCTTGTTGGGAACAGCCTGGTGCTGTGGGTCCTGGTGAAATATGAGAGCCTCGAATCCCTCACCAACACTTTCATCCTTAACCTGTGTCTCTCCGACCTGCTTTTCTCTTGCCTGCTACCCTTCTGGATCGTGGTCCAATACTCCGGCTGGATTTTTGGAGAGTTCTTCTGTAAGCTCTTTAACATGATTTTCCACATCAGCCTGTACAGCAGCGTTATTTTCCTGATGGTGATGACGGTCCACCGGTACCTGTCTGTGGTACATCCCCTGTCCAGCCTAGGCAGCCACCCCTTTCGCAGCAGAGTCCGGATCATCTCTGCCATCTGGGTGGCCAGCATCATGGCATCTGTTCCCGATACCATTTTCCACACTGTGCTAGCCGACGTGTCTCCTCCCGTTTGGTCCTGCGAATATTCTGAGCTAAAGTGGTTTCTGCTGTCTGTTTATGAGCACAACTTCGTCTTCCTCTTCTCCCTGGGGGTTATTCTGTTCTGCTACGTTCAGATCCTCAGGACCCTGTTTCGCTCGCACTCCAAGAGGCGGCACCGGACGGTCAGGCTTATCTTCACCATCGTGGGCTTTTACTTTCTCAGCTGGGCCCCCTACAATGTGGTCCTGTTCCTGCAGACGCTGCTGAGGCTCCGGCTCTTCCAGAGCTGTGAGGTCATCAAGCAGGTGGAATACTCAGTACAAATCTGCAGGGAGATTGCCTTCTCCCACTGCTGCTTCAACCCCGTGCTCTATGTGTTTGTGGGGATCAAGTTCCGGGGGCACCTGAAGATGCTTTGCCGCAAGTTCTGGCCGTGGAAATGGAACGTTAGCCCTTCACCTCGCGCCTCAGGGGCCTTCCCTTACGACGATGCCTCTTTCTACTGAAAAGCCTCTTCTAGGGAGAAGTAGGCCCCTAGCTTCCCCTTCCCCAGAAAAGGGGAGCAGAAAACTTACGGGACAGGACTGCTGGTGTTTTCATCTCTGGGGAACGGGGGGAGGCTAAGGAGTTGGGGCGTGGGGGTGGAGAAATAACAAAGTTAGATGGAGTTTATGTTTTGCTAATAATATACCTTATGTTGAGGCTAAGCAGATTCCAAGTGGAGCAAATTGATCATTAGGGTGAGAATTATTATCAAGGAAAATACCTCCTGGAGGCTATATTTAGGTGATTTCTTTGGGGGGAAATGGGGAGCAATGGAAAAGGGGTGCAGCTTTCTTTTTCCACTGTTTGGGACCTAACTTGGAAGCTCTATGTGCCAGTTGATGTGTCTACAAGACTAGGAAGATAGGCTAGTCAATTTCATGGCTAGCTGGCCACTTCATGGCCATCTCATTACCATCTCCTGATCTCCTGGGGGCAGAGCCAAACTCAAGGGCAAAACAAATTCAACTCCTACCAATCAAGTCAAGAAAATGGTATTCAGAAAATTAGCCTTGTCTAGGCTGGTGACTGCCTTGGGTAACTAGAAACAGAATGTCTACCCCCAATGAAAGGGTATGGAAGGAAGAAGATTTGGAAGCTAAGAGTAGGGGGAATGAAGAAGATTAAGAGGGAAAAGGCAAAAGGGTACCTAGGAGGACAGAATAGTGGAGGTGAGAATAGGAAGTGAAACCAGAGAATGCAGAAATAAATCTGAAGCTTGGTCACCAGTTTATCAACTATAGTTTGAATGGGGAAGATTTGCTTTGGGAAATAAGAATCATAACTCGCCTTTATTGATGCTTTAAGGTTTGCAAAATGTCACATATGTGACATATATGTATCTGTATTTTATATGTAGCTATAGATATATCCCTAGATGTGCGTATAAAGTCTGTACATAAGCATATTCCAAGAGGAGCAAATTGATCCCTGAGCTGAAAATAGGTAATGCCTCCTGGATGCTATATATAGGTGATTTCTTTTGGGGGGAATGGAGAATAGTAGGGACGTAAGCAAATAAAAGGCTTAATGATTTGCTTCTGGTTGTTTTTCTTTTTTTAATTAATTAATTTATTTTTAGTTTTCAACATTCACTTCCATAAGACTTTGAATTTTAAATTTTCTCCTCCTCCCTCTCCTTTCCCTTCCCCAAGACAGCGTGCAATCTGATATAGCCTCTATTTATACATTCATATTAAACATATTGTCACATTAATCATAATATAAAGAAGAATCAGAAGTAATGGGAGGAAACATGGGAAAGAAGAAACAAAACAAAACAACAAAAGAAAAGGAGAGCAAATAGTATGCTTTCATCTGCATTCATACTCCAAAGTTCTTTCTCTGCGTGTGGATAGTATTTTCCATTGTGAGTCTTTTGGAGTTGTCTTAGATCCTTGCATTGCTGAGAAGAGCTAAGTCTATCAAAGTCAGTCATTGTGTAATGTGGCTGTTACTGTGTACCATGTTCTCTTGGTTCTGGTCATTTCACTCAACATCAGTTCATATAAGTCTTTCCAGGTTTTTCTGAAGTCCACAAGCTCATCATTTCTTAGAGCACAATAGTATTCCATTACATTCATACACCACAAGTTGTTCAGCCATTCCCCAACTGATGGACATCCCCTCAGTTTCCAATTCTTGGCCCCTATCAAAAGAGCTGCTATAAATATTTTTGTACATGTGGGTCCTTTTTCCATTTTTATGATCTCTTTGGGTTACAGAACTAGAAGTGGTATTGCTAGGTCAAAGGGCATAGCCCTTTGGGCATAGTTCCAAATTGCTCTCCAGAATGATTGGGTCAGTTCACAACTCCACTAATGTTCTGGTTGTTTTTCTGCCATGTTTTATAGCAGGGTGGGTTTCCAGAATATATCCTGTCCCTATCAGGAGTCTGGGGCAGTTAGGTGGCACATTGGACAGAGTGCTGGGCCTGGAGTCAGGAAGACATCTTCCTGAGTTCAAATCTGGCTTCAGACACTTACTAGCTGGGTGACCCTGGACAAGTCATTTAACCCTATTTACCTCAGTTTCCTCATCTGTAAAAATGAGCTAGAGAAGGAAATGGCAAACCACTCTAGTATCTTTCCCAAGAAAACTCCAAATGAGGCCATGAAGAGTCAGACACAAGAGCAACAAAATAGAGCACTGGCCCTGAAGTCAGAAGGACCTGAGCTCAAATCCGGCCTCAGAACAAACATTTGACACTTACTAGCTGTGTGACTCTGGGCAAGTCACTTAACCTCAATTGCCTAAAAATCAAAAAAATTAAAAACATGAGCAACAAAATCAGGAGTCTGAGTTGGATCTGTGGGGTAGAGAGGGCAGAAGTAGGCAA